TCTGTATACGTCTAATAATGCAGTGCTTCTCTAACTTAAAGAAACAGATAGGAACAGGGAGCCAAAGGAGAAGGATAATAGAGTTACAAACTGTAGAAATACGGCGGGTTTTAGGTGCAAAAACTTACCAAAGGAATTTTCTTAAGCTTTGCTGCCAGCTCCTTCTGCCTTTGTATGAGAGCCTTTGCATTTCCTTTGGCATCAAGGGATAAGGTGGCACTCTTGCCAGCATCAGAAGCTGCCCCATCTGTACTAGATTTCCCAGGAACCGCATGAGATCTGTTAATATTAACTCCCTTATTTTCATTTGTTGTAGAAATTGAAGATACCTTGGTAACAGGAGGATCAATACGAGTCAAAGATTTATCTGGGGAGGTCCTTGATGCTGCATTGTATGGTCCCATTGTCACACCCTGCAAATAAGGAAGTCCAATGCATAAATCAGGATAAACATCCTGATGAAAGGACCAATAAAATGCACCATAAAACAATACAACTGAGAAACAAGTGCCATACTAACCAAGTTAAGCCCTATCAGATAAAAAGGAAACCACACAACAGACTTCTTAGGACATAATAAGAGCATAATGAAAAGAACATGATATAACCAAACAAGTTACATGGATCCTTCCTCTAAGTTCCCCAATCTACTATCTAAGACCAAACAAAGCGTGACAATAATACCAAGTGGCAATATGATGAAAGAATCCTACAGAAAGTTTAAGTTCAGATAAGTTTCTATGGTCACTCACCAAACAGAAGCAGATATTTCCACACATGAGCACTAGACGAAGATAAGCAGAAGGATAGGACAGATTTGGAGGATGAAGGAGATTGAAGAACGATTGATCATGCCAATAGATAATAAAGGTAGTTAACAGATGAATGCAGTTCTTGAGGTCTGTGCTCCCTAGTCTAACATGAATGGTGGAAAGATGAAAAGCTGTTTGCAACTCCAAATCTACCACATAGTATTCCATGCAACAACAAGAACAAAATGACAGCACTTCGACAAATAGAAACCTATTATCACAAAGGCATAGTATTGACATCTAGACTAACACAATGCAACATCATGGAAAGCCAAAAATCTCCTTACAAGCTTGGGATAAATCATCTAAAGTGGTTGAACTAAGCACGACATACACAAATATCGCCAAGAGCAAGCACAACAAACAAAATGCGACCCAACTCAAAATAGATTTTTTCATAAAATGGGAACTGTAATTCATCAAGATGATATAGAAGTATGCAACCTCGTATCCCAGTAACAAAGGCGAATGGCCAGAGGCGGATCTAGTTGTGTCAAGGGGGGTAAATTGTATCTTTTTCGCGACAATCCTTTTGGTTATATATAAACTGTTGAATCCCATTAACATTAACATAAGGGAAAAAATTAGTGTAGTTGTAAAGGGGTTTCAAAACTGCTTTAGTTCATAGGTCCAAATCCTAAGTGTTACATTTCATTACTTTTTTGAATCCCATAATATAAATTCCTGGCTCCGCCAATGGGCATTGGCAGTAAGAAACAAAGCACGACATATACAAACATAGGTATAAGCAAGCATAACAATGTAAAATGTTTCTTCTTCTTTTTCTATGACGGTGGTGCCAGGGCCAAGCTTGGCTATTCTACTGGGTACGTTCTAGCTCCTGCCAGCATAGGTACCAAGTAACTTGCCCACCTTAGGCAGATGGGAAGAAATCAAGTAGTTTGCCTCTAACAAATTTACATCCGAGTAAAGACTGTTATTCATCAACACTATACAAAGGCATGCAACTTGGTATATACTGGTGAAAAAGGGCATGGCAGTAAGAAACTCACATTATCAATGGAACCAACACCGTGACCATTATCATTATTGGGCTCGGGTTTCGGTTCTTCCTTCACAATTCTCATTTCAAATCTTTTCCCCTTCATTTCTTCATCAATTTCCACATCCTCTTCCTCCTCCTTCTTCACTTTATCATCAAATCTCCTCCTCTCTCTTCTCTCCTCCTTCTTATCCTCCGAAACCCTAGCTCTCTTCTCATCTCCTCCATTGCTCTTATCCACACTCTCTTCTCCTCTCTCTTTCCTCTTATGCGCATTCTTTCTCTCCACTGAATCCTCTCTCTCATACGATTTCTCGCGTTTCTCTCGATCGTCTTTCCTCCTATGCGAATGCCTTCTCTCCAAGGAATCCTCTCTATCGTAAGATTTTTCTCTGATAACTTCCGATTCGTGTGATTTCTCGCGACGCCTTTCGCGATCGCGACCTTTTCGATCATCGGATCGGTGTCGGTTCTCATCGTCGCGGTGGTGGTGCTTCGAACGGTCGCGATGATGATGGCGGCGGTCGTCGTCGTCCTCTCTGGATGCTCGTTCTCTCCTACTCGATTTCTCTCTCTCCATTCCAAATTTCTAGGGTTTCTGAAACTTCAGATATCTCGCACTCGAATAGATTTGTGTTTCACGAATTGAGAACAATCCGGAAATTATGGATTTGGGTTTGGGCGCACTGATGGGTTGGGTTTAAGGATGATATTTGATTGGATATAAAATTTAACATGCTAAATTCCACTTATATGTTTTACTAGTTTACATGGGTGTTACTGGGTCGGTAAATTACGGTATTTAGATATTTTGGTTTGATATTTTTTATATTCGATTTCGTAAAATGCTATACCAATATCGCACCTAATTAAATTCGATATGGTTCAGTTTTTTTTCTTTCGATTTATTCGGTTCGGTAACTTCGGTTTATTCGATTTGAATACTAACTAGTGCATAGGGTCATGACGGTAATATTCTTAATTAAAGTACTCAAAAGTACAAAACTAAAAACTTTTGTTGACAAAAAAATTGTTCAAAACCAGCATATACTAACTCAGAGAGAGAAAACTTAGAATAATGTCTTGTTACTTGTTTAAAGTTAATTGATGAACTTAGACAATAAAGGAAAGTAAAATTTTAGATTTCTTATACTTATGTTATAATTAATAAAATGTGTATTGTGTAATATAATATATATTTCGGTACGATATTGGTATTTCGGTATTTTATTTTAAAATACCAAATACCATACCTAATACCAATTTTTTAAAAAACTTAAACTAAATACCATACATAATACCAAAATTTTCGGTTTCGGTACGGTAATTCGGTATTTACCAAATTATGCACATCTCTATATAGCACCCCAACTAATAAGAGAAATATATAAAGTAAGAAAATAAAATTAAAATTGTACAATATAATTACACTTAGATTAATAGTGAACTAAGTCATGCAACTTATATTTTATGAAGATATTAAAGACATCATATTTGTAGCTAATTCATAATATATATGTTTTATCAATCACTATTACATTCAGAATGTTAGATTTTTAGTAGTAATCGATAACATCTCTGAAAACAATTCATATTGAAATTTGATTCAAATCTAAAGAGGAAAAAAGATATAAGATAAAAGTAAAATTAAGAGGAACATGACAGATTAAATTTTTGTGAAGTAAAGCCTAACTGCATAATGAAAAAAAATAATTCCAGGTAGACCATAAATTATGTTACTAGTTAAAGATATATTAAATGTTAAAGAAATTTTAAATTATGATGGACCAAATTCGTTTTTGCATGTTATAAAGGTTAAGTATATGAAAAAATAACTATTTTGCTATATTCGGAGACAGAAAGAGTGTATTTGTATAAGATATGAGATATTTTCTTCGAATTACGTATATTCTTATTTTACTTACTTGATTAATTAATAGGAATTGTCCATAAATTAAATATAGTTTTCTTTTAAGTCCACGACACGTATTGTCCACTTTAGACCCAAGCAAGTACGAGTTTATCTTTCAGGCTACGTCACATCGAGCCCTAAAAGTGCATTTACCATGTGAACTTATGTGCCTTATAAAGTTTTTCACTTTCCTATCCCTGTTCCGATGTGGGTTCGCCTAATGTGATATGTGCACCCTTTCTTTAGAAGCTTGCTAAAGTAGAAGCCTGGCGGTTCTTCCTAACCCGCCATCATTAGTCCGTCTTTTGCTATAGGCATCACATTTACCACCCTTGGGACTCAGCATCCTCGCCGAGTTTTGCCCCACCTTTGTACCGATGGAGATTCGATGTTGATACCATATATGTCACGACCCAAAATTGTATGTATTATCCACTTTGAGCCTAGCCATGGCTTTGATCATGACAATTCGCTTACGTAGGTTATATGTACAAGGGTTTAAAAATAAGTCCTTAATTCATCAAATCGAAACCATCTTATTTCTATTGCGTGAATTGAAATAACTCATAGAGAAGTTTATTAGTATTTAACAATGACTATAGGTTAGAATACTATCAAGTAGTCGGATGTTATCGCTATAAATACTATCTATTTGTACTTTCAAATCATATGGTATTCGAAATGCGTTATTATTCATTACAACTCATTTAATGAATAAAAAAATTCAATAACTTTTATGTGATTTAAAATAACTTTATAATTATATGTTGTAAAGATTCTTAACTAGGACAAGATGTTGAAATTCAACAAAAGAGTTTTAAGCTCTCAAAAGAGATGTAATTCTTCATACATCATGAATTAACTATGAAATCATAACTTGTTACGAGTACTAATTATATTACGGGAAATGGTCAAAAATATGCTTTTGTATTATGCAAAATAGAGCAATTATGTCCCTTGTTAATAGTAGAGGTTATATATGCTATGGTCGCGAGCAAGTTGCCCTAAAAATATCACTTCGCACTAACAGACCTTAGATTTAGCTCAACAATAATAATATCAAATTCAGTATAATTCAACGAATAAGGCCCGATAAGGGTAATGTATATGCAGATGTTAAGTCTCTCGAACACAGAGAGGGTTAATTTAGCTCAATTGAGCCTTTAAAATCTGTTTTTCTTCAGAAAATGACACGTGTCCTAATTAGGGTACCCCTCCTAAGTAAACGCCCTTTCGTTTTTAATTGCCCCCAATTAAACCCCTTTCGTTTTAATAGGTTTTAAGCTTAAGCCCCCCGCATTTATTTCACTCTCTTTTCTTTGACAAGTAACGTTGCTTTCTTCCCTAAAATCTCCAAATCACCTTTGCTAGGGTTACTACCGAAGGAGGATTGGACAAAATTTCCGATTGAATAGTGGTAATTTCACTCAAGGTAAGTCGTTTCATTAGCTCGATTAGGGCATTATTCTGATAATGTGGGGTTGGGATTTGAGGTTAAAAAAGGGACATAAGAGTTATGTGCTTCTTCTTGTTTTTAGCTAACTTAATTAGTTAGTATGATGCTTTGCTTCTGTTACTATCTTGCTGTTGTTACTGCTTTTTCCATGTCTTTTTAGTACTTTATTTCCTTTGCTTTGTTGTATCTGAAACACTACCCTCCCCACACCTCATTTGTGGGGTTCCATTGGTATTTTTATTTTATTTTTAGTTAGTATGGTTTGGATGTTTGATGTAGTTTGGCTTGTATATAGGTAGCTTATCTTTAGATATTTTGATGTAATCCCATTCTGTATTCGAGTATGAAGTGAGAAAAGTTGTGCTTGAGCTCCTATTCTACTTTCTTTTTCTACATTGCCATCTCGAGGCCTTTGGAGTGTGTCTTGCGTCAAGGAGATTTCCAACTTTACCTTTAAAAGTATTGCTTTTGATAAAAATAGGCTTTTGTTTTTGTCATGTGCACCTTTAATAACCCTACTGATAACTGATGCATTTTTTTTTTTCAGATTTAGGAGACAGGAAAATGAGCAAGTCTTCTAATAGATCGAGGAAAGTAGAGGAGAGTGAAAGCAACTCTGAGCTTGAGAATGATGAAATGTTAAATGAGATGTCGGATGATGTTAGTTTTTCTCACTTATCTCACATTTATGTATTTCTTACCTTGTTCTGAGCTTTAACGTTTTTGCGCAAATAGTTTGCATGTGATATATATGTTTTTGATATGCTTAGGTTGAGAACTTTGATGAAGTCAACAACAGCGATGACAACAATGACTATAGTGACAGTGACGACGATGATGATGTTAACCATTACAACAATGAAGATGAAAGTGGAGAACAAGAGGAAGAGGAAGACGAGGAAGGAGATCAAGAAGAAGAAGAAGAAGACGGAGAGAAACTGACTGAGGACCATAAAATTGCTGGAATTGAAGAACTTAAGAAAGAATATATGGAGCTTAAGCACAAGGAACAGTAAGTTCCTTTCTCTACCACATAGCTTAGTTATATGATACGTTTTATTAAAAGAAGCGTTTGTTTCATGTCTGCATTTTCTAGAATTGTAGCTTCTATTTTGAACTTATAACCTATAAATTCATTTGAATTTTTTCAATATAAAAAGGGATAACTGACTATTGATATGACATGAAGATTGGCAGTATATAGTGTAAAATAATGTGAAAGTCACTTCTTTGGAAGAGGGATTGGGTATTGGTTGGTCTTTATGATTAGGCGTTTCAACTGATGATATTGGTTTGCAGTTTAACCCCACGTGGTTTGACTTTTGAGCTCATAACCCATATTTGAACCGCATGGTTCACATGTTGTTTTCAGCTAGGAACACATCACCCCTTGCTGCTTAAATACACAAGAGATAAAGTGATATGACCTTTGTGCTTTGATTATATTGCAAAGATTAGGTAATAGATTGATGTAATAGCAATAACAAACTCCTTCTCTCTATAGGAATGAATATCATTACTGAAATTTGGTGAACGCAAGTATACTTACTAAAGTTAAAATAGGTTTTTTCCCTAAAAAAAAAAGTTATGTAGTTTGTGAAAATCCTTCAGAAAGTTATGGCAGGAACTCTGGACCAAGGTATATACTTATCTTTTCTTAAAATAAAATAAAATAAAATATAAAAGTCTGAACCAAGGTATGTGGGTAAATTGTTGTAAAACCAATAAGTTCTTGGTAGAAATGAAGCGCAAGCTTCTCCAAAGTGAAGCCCATAATTTGCTCTCTAATCTCATTAATGTTCTTAATATTCAAAACTCAGTCAAAGAGACACAAAGGTTTCAGAGCTAATGAATGATTCAAATTACAATTTATAAACTCGTTATTATCACTTGTTTAGTAATGGATTTAATCTATTGAGGATACATCTGGCTAATATTAAAAAAATTCATCGTAATTATATCAAAGCTTCGCCATAGTTTAATGCATCTTTCTAATATTAAAATAACTCGCATCATATTCTTATCAAGCTTCAGCCCAGTTCCTCTTACCAGCTCGGTTAGAGTCTTGATGGTCTTATAGTAAGAATAAAACATTACTAGTGTCAACAGTAAAACAAATAGGAAGTACTTGCTATCTAAGATGTGTTCACTTTTGCCTACTATTGGTAGACATCTGATTTTGACGGTCATTGTGTACACAGAGATCTTTTGGGTAATCTGAAGCTCCATAAAGATGAGGATCTTCTCAAAGGCCAAGCAGTTAGAAACCAGAAGGTATAGTGTACCAGATGGTGCAGATGATAGTCTTTATTTTCATCTTCTTATGAGCGTGTATCTTTATTGTTTGTATACACACTTCCCATTGCTTCAATTAAAAGAAGTCCTGGTTACGGGGAACAGAAATGCCTACTGTGTGATTTGCAGTTATTTGCTCCTTCTGTTTTCCATAAATATCTATGTTGTATCTTCAATAGATATGTGATTGAGTTGCATATAGACGATACATCTTTTGCTTCTTGGTTTGTTAATTGCTGAGTTAATAGCTTTAGTGCTAATATCATTTACATGATTATTCCTTTAAAGTGACATGATTAATGATTGACTAGTGCTAATATCATAATTATGCTATTAACTTGTCCCTTTTTCGTTTCCCTCTTTTAATTTCACAAAGGCACTCTGGGACAAGACACTTGAACTAAGGTTCTTGCTGCAAAAGGCTTTCTCAAACTCCAATAGACTTCCGCAGGTTCATTGGGTTACCATTTTGTTTCAACACAATGCTAGAGTCATGATATTGACAAGTTGAACTTTAATGCATGTTTACTGCCTGCAGGAACCAATAAGATCTTCCTTTTGTGATTCTAAGGACAGAGTTAAAGATGCATATTCAGATCTACTTGCCTCCTCCAGAAAAACCTTGGATACTATACTGGAATTGCAAGAGGTACAGTGAGAACAGTTACTTCTAGTCAATTTTGCTTTGAAGTAAAACAAGATTAGTATGCTTTTGTTTTGCTGGAAACCTAATCGTTGCTACTCCCTCCGCTGTCCCATTATGTGATAGAGTTTCCACTTTGGAATGTGCCAAGTTAATAATTGGTCGAATTTGCTTATTTAACCTGTTATTCAAAAACATTTTGCCATTTGGCAGGTACTGCTTGAGAAGAATCCATCAATTACTCAATCAATGGACGGTATGACTTGTAGATTTGATTTTTCACACTCAAAGAGCTGCATCTACATGCAAATTTTGAGTGTCTAACGATCTTTATTCTGATTTTTTTGAAAATCTGAATTTACTTTTTGAAATATCTTTTGTTTTGAGATGGTAACATATGATACTTTTTGAAATATCTAATAATAAAATATTGCTGAAAAGTAGAATTCAGCAAGATGATCTTTATCGAAATCTGATCCTTCAACTCGAGGTATTGACTAAGTGATTGAATAACCACTGGAAAGGATTTGGGGGCTTGCTTAAAAGCATCAAATTAGGTTTTAGAGTGTCAGAAATTTGCTAGATTTTCAAGACCAAAAGTACTATTGCAAAAAAACCAATTTCCTCTATCTTGCAGCTCTAGACTGTGGTTTCTGAGTAAAGTTCTATAAGCCTCTGACTCTGATTAACTGAAAGAATTTCTGGAAATTGTTTGATAAGTCACCACATTCAGGAATGTTGCCAAAACTGGAAAACCAAGTCCCTGACTTTTTTGCATAATTTTCATGTTTAAGGGCCTAGTGACCATCAATTTTCCTCTTAGCTATTTGCTACAAAGACAACATAAACATACCTTTTGGGATTAACATATTCACTGGTTGATGTTTTTTGTAATTTTCTTTCCTGAAGTTAATTCTGGTAAAAGGCCGAAGCTTTCGGAAGATTCTGTTGAGTCAAATGGTGAAGTTGATGAAGATTGGCAGAAGATTTCTCAAATGCATTCAAGGTAAGAATGTTTAACTGAGGCTTATTAGTGCATTTGCTTGTTTTATAGCTGTTGGCCAAATTCCTTTTCCTTTTTGAACTGGAGTTGGTCAAACTCTTCTTTTGCTTTAGATCATGATCTTAGTTTTTTTTGCTACAAGATATACATGGTTTATATGACACATCAGGAGAAACTTCCAACCTTGAAACTGTTAACACTATGAAGACGAGTGTGATTTAGGTGGAAATTCAGCCAACAGAGCCGGTAGATGTTTATCTGTCCCCACTAACAACAACAACAACACACAACAACATACCCAATATTATCCCACACCGTGGGGTCTGGGGAGGGTAGTGTGTACGCAGACCTTACCCATACCTTGTGAGGATAGAGACGTCTGGGGAAGGTAGTCCGTCCCCACTAACAAAAAAGAAAAAAAAAGATATTTGCAGGTGACCCCACTATGGTGGCCTAGGCGTTTAAGGGGATTGACATGTATTATTCCTGAAACCTAAAAAGCCCGAAAACCTGTTAAGCAGAATATATGCTATTCTGGTCTGGGCTTCAAATAACACCAATTAAATAAAGTGAGTTACGGGCGTTGGAGTGGCGTACTGGGACCTATGATCTCTAAAGAAAATAGCAGAAGGTGGCCAAATTGTTTGTAAGCATTTCCTTGGTAATTTCATTTGCATACCATAGAACACCAGCATTGGTATTATGGTGTATCCTAAGTTGGAGCACATCATTGGCAGAATGTGAATAGACAATACTTAATCCTCACAGTAACTTTTGTGTTTTGTCGAATTTAAAATGAGCTTACATTTTAAATGCATAAACCCCAATTATGAAAATATAGTTAATGCAAGGGAAATGTTCGAATGCGAGATGCAAGGTGCATTTCTCTTTATGTTCTACACATCAAAAATCAAAATGAACAAGAGACTGGTGGTGGAAGAATTTAAGTGGGAATAGGTAACCGGATCTGGTGGTTGCAATCTTCACTTTGTTCATTCTCGTCTTCCTTGCACACTTTAACATATGAGTAATGGAAAACCAAAATTTTTGTTCATTTATCTTATTTTTCTCTTCTTAGGCTGTATGTGTCTACTCCATGCATGTGTTTCTCGATCTGTATGATGTGTCTGAATGTGTAGTTCCCAAGAGCAATATATGAATTGCATGTTACAGATATCTTAAACCTCTATTTGGATCATAATTTATCTTTTTTTTTTTTTCCGCTGTCCCTAAGTATGTATGCATTTACGACATGTATGTGACTGTCTGTCTGACATATCTCAATGTCTAGTTCTAGAGAGCTGAGAGCTAGATAAGAACAATGTATATGTAAGTTTTCGCTTAACCTTGTACTCCCCCTCTCCTATTTTATATGACAGTATACGAAGAATTTGGGATATTAATTTGACTTAGTAATATATTAGTCATAGTGCAGCACATCTTAAAGCAACGGTTGAGAAGTTAGTTGGCAGGCAAAAACATCAAATCACACTTCAAATTAATACTTGAATAGTTTTGTGACCTGGAAGTATTGAAAATTGTAGGGAAGGTGTTTAACAAGGCGTTAGTTGGGAAGTGGTTATGGGGATTTGGGTTTGAGGAAATGCTCTATGGAGGGAGGTGATTGCAGAGAAATATGGGGTTTTGGAAGGGGGATGGAGGACCAAAAGAATTACACTTCCTTACTGGTGCAGCTTATGGAGGAATATCTTAAAAGGGTGGGAAACGTTTATTAGGAATATATCACTTGGAGTGGGGAATGGGTGAAGAGTAAGTTTTTGGGGACAAAGATGGTGTGAAAATAAGTAAGTTTTTGGGGACAAAGATGGTGTGAAAATAACACTTCGTGTATCATATTTCCTAATATGTTTAGGATTTCATGCCAAAAACGATGTTGCATACAGAGGATATAAGGAGGAGAAACACATTGGGATTTGAGGTTAGGAGGAACTTACAAGATTGGGAGGTTGTAGAGTTACAGAGATTGACGGATTTGCTCCACAAANGTTTTTTTGTGGTTTACTACTGGGCGGAGAGGAGGCAGCCTTTCCTTATTCTTCAGTTTGCATTTCTAGAGTACTGACAAAGGTGTGCTTCTTTACATGACTAGCTATGAGGGGAGTGATTCTAACGACTTAGAATTTGAGGAAAAGGAGAATTACATGTGTCAATTGGAGTTTCATGTGCAAGTGCTCGGGTAAAGATGTAGATCATCTACTTTACATTGTCATATTGCATCTTGCTTATGGCATGAAGGTTGGGTTGGTTTGGACTTCAGTGGGTAATGCCAGGCACGGTTAAATAAGTAATGTTCACCTGGACTTTCAGAAGGAGGAGAAGAAGACGCAAGGCTTGGGATGTCGCTCCACTTGCCCTCATGTGGACTTTTTGGACCGAGAGAAATAGGAGGCTTTCGATGGAATAGAGAAGGTTTTTGTACGTTTGAGAAATAGCCTCTTTTCTCTTATTATGTTTTGGTGCACCCATGAGATTCCCTTAAGCATAGATGATTGGGTGTCTTTCGTAGAGGGACCATATTATTTTGGGAGGTTTCTCTACTATTTTGGTATACTTCTTGTATACAGGTATTTATGCCCTTCATTAATGAAATCTTATTACCTTATCCAAAAAGAAAATATTTGGTATCAAATATTTTATGACGTCCCAAAATAGACGGAGTGTCATAGAAATTTGGGATAGATTAAGTTTATGTTTTCTTTTGAATAAATGAGAGCTAATTAATACTTTGCTTTTACCATTTGATGTGAGCTAAAAGCAAGTAAACATCAAATTTAAAGGGAAGGAACCTTGAACCCAACATAATCAAGATTGTTAAGCCGTGTTGGTTTTGTTAATTTAATTGTCTAATTCAGAGGGCAAAGGGTAGAGGGCAGGCTGCTGCTAATTAAAAAAGGGGTAGATGACAGGCTGCTGGAAATGAGATTGCGGCTTTTGGGGGGTTGGGGGATATTTGGGGTTATATGCCCTGGAGCTGGTGTTGTAGATGACCTTTTTGGTTGCTTTTATTTGGGGTTATATGCCCTGGAACTGGTGTTGTAGATGACCTTTTTGATTGCTTTTATTCTAGTCATTGTTTCTCATAATCTGTTCCATTCTTCTATGCAGTTAGGTCCTGCTCCCGGTGAAGAATGTCCTAAGCCCATTATTAATGTTGTTTTGGAGTCAGATTTTATGTACATCTATAGCAGTTAGGAACAAAATCTGCATAGTTTCAAGTAACACAACTCCAAAATTAGGTTCCAGAACAGCTATTACTCTGCCCTTTTCCCGGCATTGCATTCTCATGCAATTGCCCTTTCTTCCTTTTGCTAAATAAATTGGCCCGCCGTTGGAAATTGATGTTGCTAATTCTTTTATGTCATAGGATGGCTGTTTTTAGGGACAAATCGATAGATAGTGGTATAGTTTTTTTGTGGTTTACTACTGGGCGGAGAGGAGGCAGCCTTTCCTTATTCTTCAGTTTGCATTCCTAGAGTACTGACAAAGGTGTGCTTCTTTACATGGCTAGCTACGAGGGGAGTGATTCTAACGACTTAGAATTTGAGGAAAAGTAGAATTACATGTGTCAATTGGAGTTTCATGTGCAAGTGCTCGGGTAAAGATGTAGATCATCTA